TTGCATTATAACATATTCATAACATATCGAAAATTTAAATCTGTATTACAACTTAATCATGATTAACTATTTTACACAATCATGATTAAGTTGGTGCAGTTAATCACGGCCATTTCTAATTTGATATTCCTAAACATCAATGTTTGTGATCAACACAAGTGTTGATGCATGTATACATGCACAATTTTTTGCGCCCAAAATGAAGAAAATTTAAAGTTTGTCATCAAAAAGTTTGTATTCAAATTCAAATTACCGTATTCACGCTGCGTAAATTACACCTCGCTGTGACAAAGAACATACACAGAAACAGAATTCAGTAGGTATATTTGCGACCGAAAATCAATCAGAATGATTCTCTTTCTGTCGCAAATGTACTGAATTCTGTTTCTGTTTCTGTATATTCTCTTTGTTACAACAAGGCCTTAGGAGGAAAAAAAAAATATTTCGACAAAAAAGAAAAAACAAATCATCACAGCAGTTTAAAAAATAAAACATACATAAAAGAAAGATTTATCATTCGAAAAACCGTGCTTTGTACTTTAAAAATGTAAATTTTTGTGATGTTATGATGTAAATTATATGTGAAACTTAACATCTGATTTTATCAATCAAGAAATTTAATGTCATGAGTGCCTAAAGTGGATAAAATTTAGTATGAACAATTTGATGATCGTGAACATCAATATTGGTGATTGGTGTGTTTTAGTTTCTCACCACTGCGAGACACCGCGTCCATGGACACAAAAGCAGGGAAAAACGAAACGGAACCGAAGTGTCGACCAAATGCACGCTAATCACAAAACATGGAAATCACATAAAGTTTCAATTTCTATATTTCTATTTTGGCGCAAAATATAAACCACGATTTTCATTATTTGGAATACCGGATGCAATCAATTATTCAAATGAGACATCGGAATTTTGAAATGGTAATTTTGAGCACAATACTCGTCGTAGATATTTCCAGGAAAATTGCCATTCAAACCGAAATTCATTGAAACAAACACTGGTTTTGCATTGAATGCGGCCGAAGTGGCTTGAAGTGGCTAATTTCCATTGTGATTACTAAACCCTCTTGTGGAAATTTTTTGACTGTCTAACTCAGTCAATTAATTTGGGACATTCAGTGACTATTTGACTGACTAGAAGTGATTGTCTCGAACAAAATAAGCAACTGCAGTTAACTTTAATCACAAATCACTCTTAGTCAAAATGTCCAAAACTAGTCGACTGACTGAAAGAATAACTAAACGTGATTGTCTCCTTACAAAACGCATGATTTCAATCAACTTAACCAGTTCTACTTGTGTATCACTACATACAGCCACATATTACAACTGAGTGGATGTTAGTCATTTTATTTACACACGGGCACCAATCAACAGATGCCATGGTATTCGCAGATATTTGCTTTTGTGCATTGATAAATATTGGGTTTGTTCGGTGCCATGCAAAATGAGCTAAAACTTATTGCCTAGTTCTTGGTCTGACATCATTTGCTTTATTTTATTGCTCGGACACTTTCACACCTTTTGTTTTTATCGGTTTTTTGATTAGCATAGTACGACGTATTCTATTCGACAAGGCGTTTCCGGTCTGAATTCTTCGTGTCATCAATCCAAAGTGTCGCACTTTCAATTGGAGAAAAGATAAAAAGCTAATTATCTAATGACAATTTCTATTTTATCCGTATCAATTGTGATATCGTATGTGCGACTCATTTATTTAAGTTCAGGCCATGTAGATACATATTAGCTAATGCCAGTGCACTATAGATGAACAAATTTCTATAGAAACATTTCGAAATGTTTCAAGAGACGTAAACTAAAATACATTGTGAATGTTCCGTATGTTTTAGTTTCGGTTGTAAAAGAGCGAAATTCAGCATTTTGGCTATAAATAACAACGGTTACATGTCGAACGTTAAAGAGCATGCAACATTCTTGCGGTTACCGTACGGATTTAACAACGCATAAAACGCAACGATAGTTCATTATTATCCGCGTCGAATACCACTCGCTCACTACTCCAATCGAACGGCCAAATTCCAATATAAAAGTGTTTGTGTTGGTTTCGGATCGATGTATTGCGTTGAACGTCACGCTCTGGCATGGCTATTTGTGTAGTAGCGTATAGAGTGTGTGTGTTTCATGTATATACACGTACTTCCGCTTTCGTCCGTCGTTGCGCTGCCGAAGCGAAAATCATCAATTCTTTGGATAGGTCGGGGGCTTGATTAAACCGCATTCTATCGATATTAACACGAATAACAATACGTTAACTATATTGTTAGTTCAGTGTGAACGTGTTAATATTTTCCACTTCTAGATCGAAAACAATTCAATATACAACAAATATAAATCTCTTCATCCAAGTTCAAGTTTATTTCAGAATCTGGGTCACATTTATATCACACATTTTATAAGCTCCATTCATGCAATTTTATTCGTATTATTTTTTTTGTACAACTCATTCAGAGAAATATGCAATTTTTGTTGCAGGTTGTACCATTGTTACAAACATAGATATTCGTTTTCAACACATCTAATAATAATAGATATAAAGACTCTGACCAAAAAAATAAAGTTTTCGTTCGCACATTTCAAAGGGGTGATCTATCAATGAATTGAATTCCCACTTGAATAAGAAGTGGAGCGTTTAAATACTGGATAAACAGGTCGGAACTCATTGTCAGCTGCTTCACTCAGCTGCATTGCCTCCTCACATGGATACACCGGTCGGAACTCATTGTCAGCTGCTTCACTCAGCTGCATTGCCTCCTCGTATGTGGGTGGATCTTCTGTGAAAATGTTTAATTTATTAGTTAAATCCAATCAAGCTTTCTTTGAATAATATTCTCAATGACTCTAAACAGCTTAGAAGAAATGGTTTACCACTGTCTGGGTATGAAAGTGGTGCATTCGATGTACTTGGATATGACAGTGTAGAATAGTTAGTTCGGTTTGTTGGCTGTTGCAAAACCACATTATTTGATGGAAGTAACGGTGTGATCGGATCTGCCACTGCATTTACTTGTATACTGTGCGGATGCAATGTTGGCACATTCAGCGGTGGCACATTGTCCTGCAATGGATACGTTCCAATTGTAATAGGCACTTCAAGGACAGGATCATTGTAGCAACAAGATACGCAAGCGGTTATCTGCATACAAATTGATAAAATAATTGGATTAAAATGTTTGTAAAATTGAAATGAAATCTTACGCGAATTGAATATCCAAATTTGATGATGTTACTCGCTGACAAATCGGTTGGTGGAACAGATGGCAATCGGATATCCACACGAGTCGTCACTTCTTCATTTGAGTAATCTACATACTGTTTAGCTAGTACATATGTTAGATGCTTTTGACGTACGCTGTCAGCATGTATGAAGAATTTAATTCTCTTGAAGAAAAGAAAGGTTTCTATAAAATTCACTCAAATATCGAAATTCTAAATAACGATAAACACCAACCTTAATCAAGTGTATGTTAAAACCGGAGATTGATTGCCCACTATGATTGTTCACATTGATTTCTAGATTGATAAATTGGCCAGGTGTATAACCACCGACTGGTACTCGAGCAACGATTTGCATTGGGCGCGATGAACAGCAACACAATATACAACAAATGAAAAATGTGTCATTTTTCTCCACTTCGACCGGTTGCTGTGTAAAAACAATGAAAAACGTTTTTATTAAAAGAAAATGAGTGAAAGTACAGGTCAGTTAAATCGGCAGAACATACTCGAAGTCTAGGAAAATTGTTCAAATCGACCATTTTGATAACGGTGAATGGTACTGCGAATGATTTATCTGACCAAGTTGGGACATCAAGAACAACACGGGCAGTATATCGAATGTATCCGTATTCTGTTTCCAGACTCGTTGGAAGATTGGGTGGCAATAGGCATTGGAAAGTGTAACTATATGTTCCAGGCGAAAGCCGAACTTCACCTACAAAATCACATACAAATTAGTTCGGACTTTCAATATAGTACTATCCGACATTGATTCAATACCAGTGTAGCCACCCACAAAATTGGTTCGTTCACTGAAGTAGTCTTCGTTGCCTGTAAACACTCGCACCTTTCGATTATCACTGGTACCATCGACCCAGTGCACATAAGCTCTACCATGAATGCGAATGTACAGGCTACGGACTCTTTTCGCTTTGGTCAAATGCAATCGCACCGTTCCTTTCAATAACTGGCCAGCGTACACCACTTTCCTTGGATTATTTTCAAATTCAATTTTACACGTTGTTGCCATTTTCGTTGACACTTGATATTATTGTTATTATATGGCTATCGTAAGACAAAGCACTAATTTGCGACATAAGAGCACATAATTTTAACTGTGTATTTATAGACGATAATAATAACAACTTAATTTTTAGATCATTATAAACCAAATGTCGAATCGTTTTTCCATTTTATTATGATTTAATTAAGAAAGCAAGTGAAATTCACAGAATCTCTGCACCAAATTAAGAGAAAAGAACATTAACGTAACCGAATTGGATGCTCACTAAAATAAACTGGCTTGATGCGAAAAATGTTCAATGAGAGCTCTTTGTCTGCTCATGGATGGCTCCAATTTGTCGGCACCATGAAGCCATGCGAATAACATCCCAATACATGTACATGTACACATACACATTCATGTGTCTGTGTTCAAGGAAAACACACAAATGGTTAGGAATGTCTGTGTTTGGTTTTTTGTCTGTTCACTAGAAACATCCGATGTAGATTGTATTTTGTAGATGTGACGCATCGATATTTTGGAGATTAACATAGCAAACGAAAATTTAAATGTATACATTTGCATTGGAAGCAGACACTAAAAGTCACACTATTTTGGGCACATTTATTTTTATTTAAAAAAATAAATAAAACACTCATTCACGAAAGGCACGAGCACAAACAGGAAAAAAAATCACAATTGGCCTTCGTTTGAGTGCTTGAGCATGAGATGTATTGGTTTGAGTATGTTTTCGTCGTTAGGATTCAAAGCTTCTGCGTAGGTCGGAAGCTCTTCAGATATGAATATTAAATCGATTGAAAATGTATTAAAAATTTTAAAAATTCAATTAAATTCTCAACCATGAAATAAAATATAATAAATATGTAAATTTACCATCATTAGGAAAAGGCGGTGGAGAAGTTAGAAGCGATGAATATGGTGGTGCATCTTCCTCGACTGACTGCAGTTCCGATGGTTGCAATGAAACTACGTTGCCCGACAAAACAAACGGGATATTCGGAATCGACGTCATATTTTCTGCGACATTATCCCGAATTGGATGTGTTCCAATTGTAATTGGAACATCAACAATAGCATCACCATTCCAATACGACGATGTCATAGTAATCACCTGCATCATTAAAATTGATTGGGTCATACATATTTGTGACGTTTGATATTGCGCATTTTACTTACACGAATTACATAACAAATTTTGATAATTTTACTCGATGATAAATCGGTCGGTGGAGTTGCTGAGACTGGAACATTAGCATAAATCATTTTGTTCTGATATTTATCGCAACCGTCTACTTTTGTTTTGGTCATAGTCGAAATATCGGTTTTTTGTTGTTTACGGTTACCGTGTGCGCTAGCGAATAAGGTGACTTTCTGGAGTAAATAACAAAGGACAATGCTTCAAAATATATCGACAATCTGTGTGTTCTGCTCTTACCCTGATCAATTTTACCATAATACCACTGATTGGTTGTCCAGTTTGATTGCTAACATTTATTTGCACCTTAATAGTTTGTCCTGGTACGTATCCACTAAGGGGGATGCGAACAGAAATTTTCATTGGATCTGCATACAGCCAACACAACCAATCAATTCCGGTAATCGTATCGGTTTTTTCGAATGTGATTGGATACTGTTGAGAAATGTTTAGAAAAATGAGAAAAAGTTATAGAAAAATCGTCTTTTGAAAAAGTTGAAGTGATTTACTCGTAATGTTGGAACTGTATTTAGATCAACTGGTTTAATGACGGTGAATGGTTGTGTAATTATTTTAGACGGCCAAAGTGGAATGTCGAAAACAACCCGAGCGACATATCGAATGTATCCATTTTCACTCTCCATTGTTGTTGGCAATGAAGTTGGCAAATCACATTCAAATGAATAGTTATGGATTCCTGCTGCTAGTCGAGCATCTCCTACAAAATTTCATCAAATCAAATTTTTAATTCAATGGGTGAAACAAATTGGATTTCATCCCATGATACATTACCGCTGCCTCCGCTCACAAAATAAATTCGTTTGTTTAAATATAATTCTTCGGCAATGTAGGATTTTTGATATCTTCCAATACCAGACGTCCAAGAGGCACATTCTCCTCCAAATAATTCGATATAAACACCACGAACATTTTTTTCCGCCGACAAATTCAATTGTACACTTCCACGCAACATCATTTGGCCGGAATAAATCACTTTCTGCGGATTGTTTTCAAAATTGATCTCACAAGTAATCGGCATGTCTGATTTCGGATTATATTCCCACCCTCAATTTGAACAATAACTGCGGACTTTTCGAATTCAAATGATGGATTCCGATTGAAAAATTATCGAAGTAATCTCAATTTTGCCAAAGGCGCTTATTTTTATTTTTGTATGTTTGCTTTGATTGGATTTCACAATAACTTTTAAATTTTTCTTACTTGAATCGATAAATTTAACCGAATTTTACAAGTCGAATAAAAATCTCGTGTATGTTTCAACACCAACTTTGTGAATGAACAAGTCCGATGTGGATCGCGAAGAGGATAGTTTTATAAATGCGAGTTTATCATCGGTGTTACTGGAAACAAATGACTTCATTCCGTAGGATGGTAAAATGTTCTTGGGTGTTGGAAACGTTTAATATAGGTGCAGCACAATGAACGAATATATGAATTGTGGCAATACTACGCATTTGATTTTAATCGCACTCTATCAATAAATTACGAAACCGTACGAAACCAAATACCACCATAGACGAAATAAAAACAAAAACAAAATAATCAAAACATTATATTATGTACTTATGCAAAAATTATTATTAGCTTGATGAATGCATAGGTGGATAAAAACATGAATAAGTGAAATATTATCTGAAATCTGTCGCTTGAGAGTATAGGCCCATTATTTATCAATGCTAAATAACCTCGTGCAGCTTGGCGTCATTTCCTCCACTTCCATATGTTTGCATTGATGTTTGAACTTTGACCAGTAAGCTTCTACAATGGACGTTAAATGCGAGTGGAGACGCCACAAAAATGTACTCCAATATAGTCGATTATTGATCAAACTACTTTCAACTAGAACATTTGAACGTTAATAAGTTAATTAAATGTGACCTTTGGCTCGCCTTCATAGACATGTGATGCACTTAATAATAGTTTAAAGTTGGTTATCGTTTAATGCTTAACACTTCCGCCTTTGATATGTGGATTGAGTGAGGGCTATAGACGAAGGCATGAGGATCTTGTTTGACCATAATCGTCGCGTTGATCTACTCTTCCGCCTTACACCGGTGGGACTTACAGAAAATATGAAGAGGTAATTGTTTTCATCAAAAACTTTTCATTCTTTAAAAAAACTGACACGGCTTATTCAATCTTTTGAACAAACTTATTGATTTTATTCATTATTACACTACGAACTATTATATTTCATTGTTGTTATTATATTATTAATAAACTACGAATAGAATTTCGTTGCATACAGCTCGAAATATCTGAGTAAACCTGGGGGTTTACTGCAATGTTAAGCAAATAAAACACTGGTTAAACGATACCAAATCCATCAGTAAAATGGCCAACGTTTATTTTCTACTTTGATTAGTACCATCAATATCTCGAAATTGGTTGATTGCATCGATTTTTTACATCGATTTTTGGGCCACCAATTTGGCCGAGAATGTGTTTACGGTAACTAGCTAGTCTGGGTTAGTATGTTGAGCAAAGTTGTCCAGTTATACGTTGGCTACAATATTTCTGAAGATAGTGGCCATCAAAATTTGATACACTGCGAGTTATGGTTGAAAAATGGTAAAAATGGGCATTTTTGCAATTTTGAGGCCCTAGATGGGTGAGTTTGTTTTGCATTTTTTTTTCCCCATTCAATACCTACAACTTTGCGCAAGACACAAAAACAATATTCCTTACGGTTTGCCGTGATATAGCCTTGTGAAAATGTTGAAAAAGTGCTCAAAATCCAGTTTGAGCCTAAAATACATAATTTCATAAAATGAAAATATCAGCCAAGTTGGCAAAACGAATGATGCAGAATTTCTAGTTTTGGTAAGAACTTTCAGCAGCGATTCTCAAAACTTATGCCCGCAATTATGTGTTGCACTGTGTAGTGTAACAGCGCATTAGTAACAGTAGCTCGTCAAGAAATTCAAAGGAATATAGAGTTCAGTAGCTATAACATATCCGGCACAGTGATGCAATGACGACACAACATAAACACGTGCGAACTGTGTCATGCGCAATGGAACCGAAAAAAAGCTAAAAAGCGTACGCACATTTTCTTGCGTTGATGCTTGAAGTTTTTCGCTTCAAAACTGCTTCATACGTTTTGCAAATAGCTCATGCGAAAGCGATTCATCAACGGTTTGACCGTATTCGTTATACGCTTGCGGTGATATAAACATTACGATGCGTCCATCACATTCCATATCAGACCTAACCGCTGAATTCCTCTCTTATGTAGAACACTCAATATTATCGATTAAATAAAAACAATCATTTTTAGTCAATTTTGAAGTTATATTCTATATTTTTTGAAGATCATATACATATATACATAGAAAATAATGTTATTCAATAATGGGGCAGTACGTTGGAGACATCAAATAAATTTATCAAAATATACGCTTCGATGTATATTCCAATGAAACCTATACTGAAGCTAGTGAATTTGTAAGCTAAAAATCAATTGTTATTTCGTTAGAATTAGCCATTAGCCTATATAACTTTCATTATATTATCGAGTATGGATTAGCACGTTAAAACGTCGGATATTTTGATTTGAAGCTACAGCCGTCTCTCTGTACTGCTTCCTGGTAAGTTGGAAGATCTGTAGTAAGAAATTTGTAGAAATTGTTATATTTGAATGTGTGCAAGTTTTACGATTTCAGTTTTACCATCATAAGGGTATGACGGCGGAGCCGAATATGGCGGTGAAGATAAGCTGTTTTGGTCTGGCAGTTGTGGCGCCGAACGCACTTGTGGGGAAGTTGGCTGTTGCGAAATTACACTGTCGGTTAAAATATTGTTGAGGTTTAGATATTCGGTGGAATTTCCTGTATGCGCTGATGTTGCATCCAAAATGGGATGAGTACCAATCGTGATGGGAAGATCGAAGACTGGACTGCTGTTACAAGAATCCATTATACCGATTATCTACAAGAAAAGTCCAAATTCAAAGCTGAAGTTAAAGGATGAGAAAAGCCTCGGATCTTAAAAAGCTCACATGAAGCGAGTATTCAACGTGAATGATGCTGTTCGTCGAAGTATTGGTTGGTTGAACGGATGGTATTTCAAAATTTACCCGAATTATCTCTTCCTCGTTTGCGCCACAGCCACGTGTCTTTTGTTGGATTATCGGATTCGTTTCATGTTTCTGACGACTACTGTTTGGATGAGTGTGGTAAGTGATTTCCTGAAAAGATAGTTCGTAAATGGTAAAAAATTTGGGAAACGGGAAAAACAGAAGGAATTCAAAATGACAAAAAAATTCTCTCAAAATATGCACAACCATATGCTGAAGATTTTATGATATCTTTCCATTTGAAAAACTTTTTGGGATGGACATTTATTGCAGATATTTCGATTTTTGTGTGTTTTATCTGTCATTCTTAGGTTAATTTGGAAAAATTGCAATTTTTTAAAAAATAGAAGTGAATAACCTAATTTTTACTTCTCGATGTGTGTTTAACTTCATCAATTGTATCCAAAATTCAGAGACTGGTTGATTACTACCATTTTTTACAATAATTTCCAAATTGATGATTTGACCCGGAGCGTATCCTCCAACTGGTATTGTCATTTCATCCGTAGTGCCACAAGAACAAAGTAAAGGAGTTATTTACTTTTAGAGTAGGATATTCGTTCAAATCGACAGCCTTTATAACAGTGAACGGATCTTCGAATATTCTATCAGGCCATCGTGGAATGTCAAGAACGAGACGGTCTGTGAAACGAATGTACCCAATGTCACTTTCGAACGATGTAAGCAGGTCGGGTGGCAACATACATTGAAAACTGTAATTATAACTTCCGGGCGAAAACGGAGTTTCGCCTGTAATTTTATCAAACGAAATTTCAATCATAAGACGTCGTACAATCGTAGGGTAATTCAATTTAAATGGCGTTTATCGAACAGTTACAATTGCTTCTATCCATGAAATATATTCCTTCATTCAAATAGTACTCATTGCATTTGTTTGATTTGCGCTGTTCACCGTACCCCTCGTCCAATGACAACAAGCCCTTCCATCTATACGAATATGCACACTGCGAGTATTTTTTTTCCTCTTGTTAAATTTAGCCGTACCGTTCCGCGTAGCGTTTGGCCAGCATAAATCACTTTTTGCGGATTGTTCTCAAAATCAATTTCACAAGTCGTCGGCATTTTTATGGCAATTCTTTATTTCTCACACTACAGTGTTGCTCATTAGTTTTCAACGAAAAAACTGTTTTTATTTATAACTTTTGATTCATCGCATCTAACAAGAAACAATGGAAACTTCATCGATTGGCCGAACTCTGACTTTGCCGGTTTTTTTGGCTACCTCATTTTAAACTAGAGTTGATGCTTCGATTTTGATGACGTTCTCTAAAGCACAGATTTGGCGTTAATTTCAAGGGCAAATAAAGTGCTGCTAGCACTTGCAAATTTTCTGTTCAAATGGGGAAAACTAATAGTATGAACTGATTTTAATGATCTCTAAAACAAAACGCACTGACAACTGTGTGATTAGAACGTGGGAGTTGGGCCATGCGCAATTAAGCTCTCCAAAAAAACTTACAAGCATACGCACATCTGTCCTAGCGTTGGTTCGCATCGAAAGTATACGCAATTTGGGAGCATCTTCGGCAAAAGCGACGCATCAACGCTTTGACAAATCGAACGCAACTCAAAACGCTTGCAGGGACATAAACATAAACATTACGATGCGTCCAATACAAACTATTACACTCCATTTCAGATCCAACCACCGGATTCCAATATTCACTTCAAATGTATTTCAAATGCTAAGTCATAGACATAGAGTTTCCATATTTTATGACTAGTTGTTTCAAAAGTTATTCAGAAAAATATATAAAATTCTTTTTATTAAATAGAACAGCAATCTGTCTTCACCAATGGAATATACCGTTAATACAGTGTATTGTTTTGATGATTTAGCGTGCCGATTTTTGCGAAAAGCAAAAAACCACATGGAATATTCAGAAAGATTTGATGTGGTTCAGCATCATCACAAATAAAGAACGGACAATTTCATTCTATTCATTGGTGTAGAACATTCAATATCATAAATTAAGTAAAAACACTAATTTTTAATTGGTTCGTTTTAATTGTATTTTATTCACTCTAAATACCATAAGAAATACTGTGTCTCAATAATGAGGTAGCAGCGTTGAAGCCATATCAAATAGATTTATATCAAAATGTGCCACTCGATGTATATTATAATGTAAATCGAAGCATTACGAATACTACGGCTAGTAAGTGTATGAGCTAAAAGTAAATTGTCATTTGGTCAAAATTGACCGTTCGTTTAATATTGGTCTTAAAGCAAGAACATTTTCAATTTCCGCTTGAGTAAGAAGTGTTGCGTTTGAACATTGGATATTTTGGTTTGAAGTTATCGCCTTCTCCGCCCTTTATAACTGCTTCCTCGTATGTTGGAGGATCTAAAAAAAAAAATCATAAAAGTCGCATTACAATCGGTTCATAATACTTAAATTAAGGATGTATGTTTACCTTCATTTGGGAATTGGAATGGAGCGTTCGGAGCAGCGCTTGGATATGGCAGTGTAGAGAAGTTACTTTGGTCTGTCAGTTGTGGGGCCGATGGCTGTTGCGAAATTATATTATCGGTTTGAATATTATTTGGATGAGGATATCCGATGGATTGCTGATAGCCGATGGGATACCCAGCGTACGCTGGCGATGCATCCTGAATGGGATAGGAACCGATGGTGATTGGAAGATCAATGACCGGATTATTGTGACAGCATGCCACTGAACCAATTATCTGTAAATAATTTCCGAATGAATTAACTGCACTAAAATAAAAGAAAAAAATGCTCAAACTATGTGACACTTACGCGGATTGAGTATCTAACTTTGACGATATTGCTCGTATCGAAGTCGGTTGGAGGGATTGGTGGGACTTCCATGTTGACACGAATTATCTCCTCCTGGCTTACGTCACAGCCACGTGTATCCTGCTCGATTATCGAAATCGTTTCATGTTTTTGACGCGCACTGCCCGCATGTGTGTGGTAATTGATTTGCTGAAAAGAAACATTTCATAGATTAGAATTAAAATTGAAATGATAACATATTTATCGATAAAATACATTTACCTTTATCAGTTGTACCGTGAATTCTGACACGGGCTGGTCACTCTCATTTTTGACATTAATTTCCAAGTTGATGATTTGACCCGGAGCGTATCCTCCAACTGGTGTGCGAGCAATAATTCGCATTGGGTCCGATGAGCAACAGCACAGTAGACAACACAAGGAAAACGTTTTGTTTTGTTCAACAATGGCTGGTTCCTATGAAGAACAAAATATAAATTTGTTGAAATAATGATGTTGAAATATTGTAATTCATAATTAGAAACTAGAACGAATCAAATCAAATGGGACTAATCAAATTAACACCATAACGATTAGCTGTTGGAAAAGAAACGCACTAATTGAATTTAATTGATAAGAAACATTGTATAAATAGAGTAAGAAAGCTCAATAAAGTATTCAGTAGTATATGAATCACAACAGAATTAATACTGATCAATTGATGCAGCGAACAAAATGTAAATTACTTTGAGCCTTGGATCTGCATTCAAATTGATGGCTTTGATAACGGTGAACGGTACTTCAAATGATTTATCAGGCCATAGTGGGATGTCAAGAACGACGCGGGCTGTGTAACGAATGTACCCAATTTCACCTTCGAACGATGTAGGCAGGCCGGGTGGCAACATACATTGAAAACTGTAATTATAGCTTCCGGGCGATAATCGAATTTCACCTGAAATTTCAACAATATAAAATATAATCGTGAAGACGACAATTGATCGCAATCGATAGAAACAAGAAAATATCAATATTGAAATGACTTTCATCGAACACTAACCACTATTTCCACCTACAAAATACGTTCGTTCATTCAAATAGTCTTCATCGCCGCTGTATGTTCTGCGATTATCCCCGGAACCTTCCGTCCAATAGCAATGAGCCTTTCCGTGTATACAAATATAAACACCGCGAACATTTTTCTCTTCCGTCGAAGTGAGTTGAACGGTTCCACGTAGAAGTTGGCCGGCATAAATCACTTTCAGCGGATTGTTTTCAAAATCAATTTCACAAGTTGTCGGCATTTTGGTGACAATTTTGTTTTTATTTTCCACACTTTTATTTCGAACAATGATGTTGGTCTAGTTTTTTTGTATTCTGTTGTCAAAGAAAAAAAACTGTTTCGGTTTCTATTTATAGCTTATTAGTCATCACGTCTGTCAAACACCAAAAAAAGCTAAATCGATTTCTGGCACAGTAACACAACTTTTTTCGCACTCCAAACCTTTTGATTTCGCAGCATTTTGTTTCACTTTTCTTTCTTTTTGCCAATTTTTTTTCTAAACTAGAACACAATGTTGGGCGTCAATTTCAAGGACAAATGAAGTGTACTTGCAAATCTGTTTTTTTCTGCTTCTTTGTGCGAATGCGGGGACTAACAATATGAACTGACTTCGATGTTCACTAAAAAAATACGCACTGACAACTGACTACTTCAGTGACGGCGGGATTTCTAAGTCTTGCATGCAATATCAACGCGCTGTTGTTTTCATTTATGGCTCCGCAGTGTCGGCACGATAAATGAATACATGCGGGCCAGCGGACAATATCACACACAATCAAAATCGAGTTTTAGACCGAGAAAAAAAATTAAAAGAACTAACACATTGAAAAGCAATCGAGAGTGTGCCGAATCGTATTGTGTGTACGTGTGCGTGCTGATTGCAAACGTCGCACGCGACGCGTCGACAATTTGATAAAACTATTGCGATACCACAGCGTGTTGATATTCCAATGCACAACGGCACGGCACTCGCTCCATTTACGATGTAAACAAAAACTTTGCGAAATGCCGCATGAATTGACTGTCGTCCAACAGAGAGGAAAAACGCAACACAAATCGTGATTGCGTGTTTGTGAGAGATTATACATAATATACGTTTGCTCTATGTGTTTTTTTGTGTTCAATTTCGCTCTGAATATTAATTGAAAATACATGATTTTGGAATGATTCTTTTGGGAATGATAGTGACATCTGAGTCAGAATGAGTGAATTATTTTCGGCAACAATTATCAACAATTCAACAGACGTAACTGAGGAATTTCACAACGGAATGGGGTTGGCCTGGAAATGACGACAAAATCGTTATTCGATGGAACACTGTGGATCATTTCAAACTTGTGTTGGAGTACATGACTCTATATTGAAATGATGTAAATACAATCCAAATTCATATGCAGCTACAAATTCATGCAATGAATGCGCGTTCTAATGTGACAATCCTAATCGCCACAAGCGATAATTTGCATCAACATATGTTGATGTTGGACGGAGCAATGGAATTTTTCAAATTTTACCGAGATTCAACAAGTGTTTTCAGTATGACATACTTTGAGCAATGATGAAGGTGGTTAAGAATGTTGCATTTGAAGTGAAATCAACACAAGCTCTGAATAAATCGTATGGAACCTATCCAATTCTAAATGAATTTGAACATTTGTTGGAAATCAAGTGAGAATCATTTATTACAAAAATACTCCATGCCAAAATTTACACTTTAATTGAAGTTTGTACATATAAGGAGAAAAATCTATCAAAATTACCCGCATATCAATAAAATAAAATAAAATAAAATAGAAATCTAGAGAAAAATCCGAGAAATATTGCATAAAACGTATGATTCACAGTAACGGTTACTCTTTTGTTCATTCAATAATAAATAATGAAACGGAATATTGTGCCGCTAGTTTCCATTTGAGTAAGAAGTTCTTTGATTGTACATTGGGTACTTGGGTGTGAGATTGTTGCTGTCTGCGATCGTTGCCGATTGCATTGCCTCCATATAGCTTGGAGGTTCTGTGGAAGGAAAGGGAAAAAAAATGATTACCGATCAATTAAAACTGATTGAAACTTTAAAGAAATTGTAGGATTTGTATTTATTTTACCATCCTGTGGAATTGGAAACGGAGCGCTCGGAGCACTGGGCACAGCTGAGTATGGCAGCTGATTGTTCTGATCGAACACTTGTGACACCGATGGTGGCAAAATTACGCTATTGATTGCCATATCAGTCGGATGTGGATACCCGGTGGCCGTTGGTGTTATATCCTGAATTGGGTAAGTGCCGATGGTGATTGGTAGATCGATGATTGGATTTATGTGAAAGCATGGCACCGAACCTATTATCTGTAAAAAAAAAATTGAATAAATTTAGGTATTGGTGTAACCGTAGAGTGGTCAAAAAAAAGTTGTCCCTCATCCGGAATGTCCGGCCAGTTTCGAAAAATATACCTCAAAAAAATAGGTTCTGTCTAAAAAAATGATATGGGTACCATACAAAATCATGAGGCAAGAATTATATGAAATTTTTCATGACAGCGATTTCGGAAGCCATTTTGGATCGCAACATTTCAACTAATTCCATTATTCCAACCAAATTTCGACAAAAAGTGTTGATGGGGTTTTGTTTGGCTCGTCAATATCTACAACTTTTACCAAGACATCAGCCCTTGAAAAGGCCTTCTGGGCCAGTTACAGTGTAAAATGACCGAAAAAAAGACAATTTTTCGGCATTTTTCGCATTTTTCGCTCTACTGGCCACTTAGGTGGTGTGTCATGTAGTTAGAACCCGTACAAAAATTTTGGTACTTGTAAGATTGCAATTTGGATGAAATTTGGCGACAATTGATTTACACATATTAGACAAATTTCAGGCCAAAATGAGCAAATCACAAACATGAGCTTCGATTTGACAAATAAAAGCAAGCGATTTCTACCAGTTCTGCCTTTGAACATCTAGTATGATCCCTTACGAACATTTTAAGTACTAACACGACCAAATCGAGTGATGTTTTCACATATTTCTGGCCTCATATTCGATTTCAACTCCCAAAAAATCGACTTTTGACCAAAAAATCCTTAAGTATAGGCTTTTCAGGGATGGTGTCTTGGCACAAAGTTATTTTTTCTCAAAAATATGGGGAGTCTACCCAGACAAAAACTCTCAAAATTGACTTTTTAAGGTACCTCCCGAACAAAATATACGTTTTTCATGGATTTTACTATGAAAATATCAATTTTTGTTCGGGAGGTACCCCAAAAATCATTCATAAGAGATTCTGTGTGAGTAGATTCCCAATATTTCTCGAAAAAAATAACTTTGTAGTAAGAAACTCATCCGAAAAGTGTATTTTTGGGGTACCTCCCGAACAAAAATTGATAATTTCATAGAAAAATGCATGAAAAACGTAACTTTTGTTCGGGAGGTACCTTAAAAAGTCAATTTTGAGAGTTTTTGTCTGAGTAGACTCCCCATATTTTTGAGAAAAAATAACTTTGTGCCAAGACACCATCCCTGAAAAGCCTATACTTAAGGATTTTTTGGTCAAAAGTCGATTTTTTGGGAGTTGAAATCGAATATGAGGCCAGAAATATGTGGAAACATCACTCGATTTGGTCATGTAAGTACCCAAAATGTTCGTTAAGGATCATACTAGAAGTTTAAAGGCAGAAAGGGTAGAAATAATTTGCTTTTACCTGTCAAACCGAAGCTCATGTTTGTGATTTGCTCATTTTGGCCTGAAATTTGTCTTCTATGTCTGAATCAATCGGCACTAAATTCCATCCAAATTGCAATCTGAGAAGTGCCAAATTGTTCATACGGCTGCTGGCTACACGACACGAGTCGAAAACTGAACAAAAGTTTACCACCTGGGGGACCAGTAGAGCAAAATTGCAAAAAATGCCGAAGAATTGCCATTTTTTCGATCATTTTACACTGTAACTGGCCCACAATGCCTTTTCAATGGCTGATGTCTTGATAAAAGTTATAGATATTGACGAGCCAAATAAAACCCCATCACTGGTTTTGGCCGAAAAGTGGCTGGAAAAATGATTTAGGTCGAAAAGTTGCAATCTAAAATGGCTTCCGAAATCGCTGTCATGAAAAATTTCATATAATTCTTGCCTCATGATTTTGTATGGTACCCATATCATTTTTTTAGACAGAACCTATTTTTTTGAGGTATATTTTTCGAAACTGGCCGGACATTCCGGATGAGGGACAACTTTTTTTTTTGGACCACTCTAGTGTAACCATGAAAATCGATTGAAACAAAATAAAGATAACTAATATGAAAGAATCAACTTACACGAATGGAATATTTTACTTTGATGATGTTGCTCGTAGAAAAATTTGATGGAGGTATTGAAGGAACTTCCAAATTTACCCGATAATCCTCTTCTTTGCCTACATCACAACCACGTGTTTCCATCTCAAATATCGGAATTGTTTCATGTTTCTGGCGCGTACTGTTTTCGCACACATAATAAATGACTTGCTAATGGATTGGGATGAACGACACTCATTGAGTAACAGTAGAAAGTTCTGCGCCGATTTTCGTCTTACCTTAATCAATTTTATCGTAAATTTGGATGCTGGTTGATCGCTCTCATTTTTTACATTAATTTCCAAATTGATAACTTGACCGGGCGTATAGCCTCCAACTGGAATTCGAGCGAGGATTGTCATGGGCGGCGACGATGTAAAACAGCATAGTAAAACTGGTGAGAAGGTTTTGCTTTTTTCAGCAATGACTGGAGCCTGTGAATGAGTAATCAATACATATGAATCACTTTTTTGATGAAACTAAGAACGGAAATTACTTGAAGGGCTGGATCAGCATTCAGATTAACGGCTTTAATAACAGTAAATAGCTGCTCGAATGTTTGGTCTGGCAATAGTGGAATGTCGATCACAACTCGCGTAAAATATCGAATGTATCCAAACTCGCCTTTAAATTGAACCAAATCCAATTCACCGTTGAAAAAAAATTATTAAAACACAAATTTGAATGGATATGAAAATGTGCGTCAAACCTTCGAATGATGTTGGCAAACCAGGCGGTAACATACATTGAAAATTGTAAGTATAACTTCCTGCCAACAATCGAGTCTCACCTATAACAATGCCATCAAATAAACTTCAATCATTGCAATCAAATGCTGAAAATGATGAAGAATGAGTATATCTTGGAATGATACGCTACCACCCGCATAAAATGTGGATCGGTTCACGAAATATGTTCGTTCATTGAGATAGTCTTCATCACCCGTGAACGTTTTACTCTTTTCACCGGTGCCCTCTTGCCATTGTGCATGTGCAGTCCCTTGTATGCGAATAAATATACTACGAACATTCAAGTGTTCTGTCGACGTCAGCCGACACGTTCCGCTTAGTACTTGGCCAGCATAAACTACTTTTGCCGGATTACTGTCGAAATGAACTTCACAATTGATCGGCATTTTTATACATTTACTTTTGATTTGCACACGTTTTATTTTAAATTGAATCGATTCACTTTTTAACTGTGAAAAATTTTAATAAAAGTCTATTTCAAATGGCTTCTCAATGTTCCCTATCAACAATACAGCAATTTACGCCGCAATATTTTTTTTGCAATACAAACTTGTTTAAATTGTTGACTTTTTAATGATTTTATAACAATTTCACCAACACAATTATTCATTATTGGCTGATTTAATTGTAAACTAGAACGCAAACATGAAAAATGCTTGCGATTTTTTCTTTAAGTAAATGCGATTGGAACTGTCAGACTGACTGGAATAAACCACACTGACAATCGACTGCGAAGCATTTGAGTGGGGGGAACAGTAGCGCGATGCGGTCTGATTTACAAACACACAATTAAATGTCTGTTTTATGTATAATCGGCATAAGAGTTTGGGCGGGCGTCGGATTCTGTGTAAAATTGATAACAATATCGCGTTGAAAATAACGTGTTCCAGGAAACTTGTGGAATGTTTTCAATTTTTGGGTCGAAAACAAAAAAAAAATCATCGGAATTCGTTTGCCACATGACTTCATTTAATTTGAAGCTACATCAATCAGTGAATATTTCCAGAATTTTTCTTTGCGATTAGCGACAAATTTTGAACTTTATCAGCTGAAGCTAATCAACATGTTTATAATTTGTGTATATGTTTCGTCGCAATGCGTTAGAAACTTGATAATGCATGGTTGAATGCCAAATATATGGATTAACACACATCACATTCGGTTTCTAATGAAATGCTTTGATCCTAAATTCCAAGTGATGCAAAATCAATTCGAATTCCGGTGTGAATAGCAATTCATGCATTTCGATTGAAGCCAGACTTATTGACTACAGGCGATGATTTGCATGAATCTCATCATCATTTTGATATGACAGTTGAAAATAAACAGTCTGACTAAAAATTTATTCACAATAAGAAAAAATATCGCGTCACGACTTTTACACGGCAAAATGCTTAAAAGCTTTGGAACAAAATTCAAAAGTCGTGACGCGATATTTTTCCGTATTGTGAATAAATTTTTACAATAGTGAATGCGAAAAAAACTTCTGAACTTCGTACAGGAGCGTCACTCCATTTTAACCTCGTCTAGAGGTTTTTCATCTGATCGCAATTACTTCAGATAATCATGTAACTGCGCATGGGCGAATGAGAAATAAAATGCATTTTTCTTAAATTCTCAAATTTATTCGGTTCTTTTGTTGAACATCAAATGACAGGAACAAAAAAAGAGACGATATTCAGGGATTTCAGGCGCCTGAAACCCTTTTTTCAAGCCTATATTCTTCTTTTTTGATTACGTCCTACCCTTGGCTCCTGGATCCAATCGAGCAACGGTGCAATTGGTTGAAAAATAACTGTCGCATCAGGTATACCAGTTATGGTCATGCCCACGATTTTGTTATTCTTCTTCGAAATCATCGGTCCTCCAAACGCACAGAGATCTCCCATGCTTTCATCAAAAGTGTAACACATCAAACGATTTGCATCAAATAGATCGCCCAACTTCGATTTGCATTTGGCGCCATCCAAATACTTTACATCATAACGTCTCATTCTCATTGTTCCATGCAATATCATATCACCGTAGACAGTGACCATTTCGGACGGGTCATTCAATTTGTAATCTTTGTCCACCAAATCGATGCTGCCGACGTTGTCGTTGAACTCTAGCGGATTTTTTAGGGTAATCTTGGCAATGTTAAATGTCAATCCAGGAAATGCGTATTTCTCATGAATTTTTATCTGGGATTTAGTGACTCTGATTGTTTTCTCATTGCTTGTGAGTTTATTAACTATTACATAGACGTATGGGGCACCGTGCACTTGATGTGCACAGGTCAAAATCTCCGTTTCCGACAAAATGATTCCATTAAATTGGAGTTGAAAGTTTTCGTCGTAATCGGCAAAATCTTTATTGTAAGCAGTAAGAAATTCTGCAATAGAAAAACATCTCAGAATGAATATTAACGTTTATGAATCATGAAAAATCTCCACTTTTGCCTCTCCTCTATTTAAAATTTAAAAAAAAGTGACGTTAAGAAGGTTTGATTTAGTTCGAAATTCGAATGCACACTTACTTGGAAATACCCTTATACTGGCTATAAATTTAGCTTCGTTAGGTGTGAGCGAAGTTGGAAGTGGTTTCACGCGCTGAAATTAATGCAAAAAATGATTTTGTTTGCGTTGTTGAGAATAAAAATTGGGGCATTGTGATTAGATACCTTTGGGTTACGAATAAAATCAAGAAATAGAGTAATTGGAAGGAACATTCCGCGGCCACCTGTTGTTCCATTTATACTCGTAGTTATGCCCACGATTTTGCCATTTGTTTTTGAAACGACTGGTCCACCCGAATCGCCAGGTGTAATAATTTCACCATCTTTTTTAGAATCACCAGTGGTAAAGTACAAAGTCTGAACTGGGTTGAATGTGTCGGCTCGGTTGACATCAGATATATACTTCGCATCGCAACGCCTCAATTTCAATGGTCCGATGCTGTTCAACACACCATACCCATATACGGTGACCACTTCTGATGAGTTATTCAATTTGTAATCTTTGTCCACGACTCTGATACTGCCAACGGTATCGCTGAACTCTAATGGCTTTTCCAATGTAATTTTGGCAATATCAAATGCACCAACAATTGATTCATTATAAAGAGGATGATATGCAAATCTCACTTTTTCGACTTTGATTAGGTTTTTCTCTAATGCAACTTTCGTACCAACTACCACATAAATATATGGGGCGCCAGCCACACAATGAGCATTCGTGATAATTTCCGTTTTTGACAGAATAAATGCGGTACATGTAGACAGCATTTCTTCAGTTAACTTGTCTTTGAATGCATACAAATATCCTGTAATAAAATCGTTTCGTCTCAGTACAAGCAAAAATGAACACACACAATTGATAGAATATTTGAATCGAAAATTCACACGAAAAAAAGAATAAAAATTATTCTAAAGCTGACTTACTTGTAGGGGCATAGATTCCAGCTACAAACTTTGCCTGTGACATGTTTTCAATCACTTCGCCCTTAAGTAGAGCTTGCGAGAAGAAGCCATCTGTTCATTTGAAAAAAAAAGTTAAAATTTTGAAT